CTGTAGCTGCTGAGCCGCTAGTTCAGTATCTGCTACACCAGATTGTTCATTAGTAGGTTCTGTCTCTATGGGGGATGTATCTATGTTTGTACTGATTATATGCATAAACATACAGTTAGATGTGCCTACATAATAATACAGATATTTCTGCACAATCTCAGTTCACACCCTGGAAGGTGAAGAAGAGGAGGAGAAAATCTTTAAAGATGAAGCCAATTGATGAGGGGACAGAGACGGAGTATGGGCTGCTGAATTTAACCATCTCTGGCTACGACATGAACCTCATTTCTAGATATGCCCAGTACGCCCATCACCTCTGCAACCGCCTCCGGGTTCACGTCTGCCGAAGGTGAGATGGGTTTCTGACCATGGCATCTCTTCCTTCAGCTTGCCTGAATGTGTTAAATTCAGCAATTAAACAGCAAATCCGATGAAATGTGGTTAAGCCACACTGTGTTTTTCATTTTGCTGGTGAGAATCAGTTACTGTTTTGTGCTAAATTCTCATGCTTGTCATTTGAAGCTTGATATCATGTGTGTATTTTTGGGGATTTTATTTTATTTTTTTTTGCTTCTTACAGTTATGCTTTGCCAACAAAGACCACAGAGATCTTGGTAACAAAGGACCACAGCACTAAGATGGTGGTGGATGCTGTCCTTAAGACCCACTTTCGTGTCATTCAAGTGAGTTCAGGTGTCATGGGTTGGTTATTTAATGGCTTAGTAAACAGTTTTGTACAAAGTTACATAGGTTAACTTTTTACTGTTTTACTGAGCAGATCAGGTTTTTAACCAGTACACCACCGGTTGTCTATGCATAGCAGTGTTGGTGGACTTCTCCCTGTCCACCTTTTCTAATCACTTATTGGCTCTGTTTCAGATCAAGGGCTTGAGTGCCACCATTTGTCCTGTTTTTTTTGAAGTCCTGCTGAAAAACCAGCCAGAGGGAGTTGATCTGTTGGTGAAGGAGGTGAGTGAACCTGCCCAAGAGAGGCGGCTTTGAGAAATCAAACTAATTTCGGGACTGCTTCGTGCTAAAAGTCAGTGGGTCCAGATACCACCTTCAACCAGGCCTTTCTAGAGTAATATCCCGTGATTGGTTAAAGACTTTAGAGAAAGCAGCATCCATTATGTTCTATACATTTCTCTTTTTTGTACTGTGGTTTCAGTAAATGTTGCAAAATAGAAATTTTGGATTTGTCTCTGCTATCCTGGTCATTATGTCATCATTCTGAAGTCTTTGTAATGCACTGTAGAACCCTTAGTAATTTACAGTCAATTCTACAGTATAATCTGAGAGTTAGTCTTAAGGCTAGTTCATACTTTACTTTGGCGCTTTCGGCCACGGACGGTCTTATGCGCGGAGTCTTGTGTTCATACTACATTTGGCCATAGCTGCGGATGGTCATGATCGGTGCTTACAGTAGTGATATTCCACCAGACCAGGGGAGTGCTTAGATATTACAACAAACACAAATATACGCAATGTACTGAAATGGGTAAACCTTTTATGAATAGTCTTAAAAATCCCTATGACAAAATTATCCGGCACCCATCCAAATTCTACTTGACGAATTTTATCACCAAAATTTTAAAATGCGTAGAATAGGTTTGATTTTGAAAATAACTGTATACTGCAGTAAAATGACTGGACAGTATGAAAAATTAGATAAGTGGTTACTTCTACACCCCATCATATAGCTGTTTACCATACCTTCTACAACAACAACTACTATTCATCCTCTGATCTTTTTTGGTCGACCTCTGGTCTGTGAAAGTTGGTGCTGCCACCTACAGGAAATACCTAGTCAGTTATCTTGCACATGCACAATAGCTGCACATGATTTCCGGGGGACAAAAAAACCAATCTGCTACACGCGCATCATCCACAGCTGTCCAGCACGAAACCCTGAGAAGTATGAACTAGGCCTAATGCTGTTTTTCTTAGGCTTATCTTTGCTTAAATTTAGACTTTGGATTCAGTCGTTCTTAATGCAGTGTTGAAGAACAGCATTAGTATGGATGCTGTTAAAATATATTTTTTCCTTTATCCCCATTTCGTCATGTAGCACACAGAGGCTGATTTCAGGGCACGCTTCAAATCTCGCCCGGAGATGGAGGAGCTCCTAGCAAAGCTGAACGGCTAACTGTCATAGCCTGCTGCCCAAAGCTTGCCAATGTAGTCTCCCATTTTCCTGGTCTGAAGCAAGTAAATACATTTAATAAAAGTATGTTATTAAGAATCTGTGTCTCTGATCCTTTTTATTTATTTATTTTTTCCAGTTGATGGGCTGTAACTGACCACCAAAGGATGCATTTGCCAGTCATTTCATCTCTTTGGAAAATACTGGACACGTTCACAGCGGTTCACTGAAAATGCTGAAGCGAAAGAGAAAGAATTAATTCTTTAGAATACAAATGCTTTGTTGATCATTTCCAAGAAACTAAAGTAGGTTAAGGATGGTTATTTTTAAGGTCTTCTTATGAGATGGGCATACAGGCTCATGGCTAAGTACTAGCAGGATGTGTCCATGTGATTTGATGTCCCATCGCAGTTCTGATGCCTGATGGTTTCCTTGTTGCTCTACCCTGATGTGGATTGCGCCGCAATTCAGCATTTCTCCATCTACACAGCTGCCGCCGTTCATTACTCTCCCATGGGCTTCCAGTTGAAGTGTTAGATGAATTAATCACCTGACTTACCTGACCTTCTCTTTTTTCGCCACCATTGTAGATGTTCTCTGCGAAGGAATAGTAACACTCTCCCTAAATGGCAGCTAATCTGTTTAGTTCCGCTTCACGGCTCGTCTAATTCAGATTTCCACCACTGTCAGCTGTGTCCCCAAGGAGCGCCACTAGGCGGCAGTAAGCCGCTGGTTTTTCCTTCCTATGAATACACCAGTGCCACTGTTTCAGAGCATGAGGATTCAGTCAGTACCACTGGATGAGGGGTGGATGGCGAGGGGTCTGCCATCAGTTCAGCTGTTTGCCGCTTATTTCAGATTAGCCCTGCAGCAAGAATCGCGCTGCTTTCATCATGCAAATGGCTATTGCGCGCGTTAAGTTGCCCTGTGTGAAATCAATCAGACCAAACCTATATGTATTTAAATGCTACTAGTATTAGAAACAAAACTCATGATTTAGAGGCTTTAATTTCATCGGACACATACGGCATTATAGGAATAACCTATAATGGATGAAACATGGATGAGTAACAATGATGATGAAGAATATAATATGGATGGTTATACATTGTTCCGTAGAGACCGTATAGACAAGAAGGGAGGTGGTGTTGCAGTATACGTAAAATGAAAGTACAGAAGCTGTATGGATAAAACGATGCTAAAAACTCAAATGGCCTAATTGTCGGGGTTTGTTATAGAGCATCTAATGTAGCTGCAGAGGAAAGCAGAATGTTATATGACGATATGAGGATTATGAGTAATAAAAATGATTTGGTGGTTATGGGTGATTTTAATTTACCTGGGATAAAGTGGTCTCTGGCTCTTCTGTAAATGATCTTGAGATGGTGGAATTAGTACAGGATTGCTTTTTACTCAGTTTGTTAACACCCCTACTTGTTATCTCTAATAACCAGGATAGGATTGGAACCATTGGACGGTAGTCATCATAACATGGTTAAATTCGAGGTTAATTTTAGTGTCCGAAGAACAAAGTCCAAGATAAAAGTATACAGTGTTAGGAAGGCTAACTTTTATGGTATGAGACTGAAACTAGAAACTAGGCATGGGAATTTTTTAAAAGCACATTGTTGCAAGTGCAAGAGGTCTTCATACCTGTTTCCAGCAAAACTAAATCTAGGAAACGACATCCAAGGTGGTTTACTAAGGAAATTAAGAATAAAGTCAGGAGGAAAAGGGTTCTGTTCCACAAATGGAAAATAACTAATGATTTCAAAATTAAGCAGGAGTATCTAAGTCTACAGGTTGAGTTAAAAAATAACACTAGACTCTCTAAGGGGAATGTAGAAAGAAAAATTGCATTGGAGGCTAAGGATGACAATAATAGTCCATCCATCCATTAACTACCGCTTGTCCGGGGTTCGGGTCACGGGGGTAGCAGCTTCAGGAGAGATACCCAGACCTCCCTCTCCCCAGCTACCTCTACCAGCTCTTCAGGGAGGATGCCGAGGCGTTCCCAGGCCAGCCGAGAGATATAATCCCTCCAGCGTGTCCTGGGTCTGCCTCCTCCCTGTAGGACATGCACGGAAAACCTCTCCGGGTAGCCGCCCAGGAGGCATCTGCGCCAGATGTCCAAACCACCTGCGGAGTAACCTAATTTTGGCCGCCTGTATTCGTGATCTCATTCTTTCGGTCATTACCCATAGCTCACGGCCATAGGTGAGGGTAGGGACGTAGATGGACCAATAGATCGAGAGCTTTGCTTTCCGGCTCAGTTCTTTCTTAGCCACGACGAACCGGTTAATCGCCTGCAAAACTGTAGACGCCGCTCCATCTGTACAGCTCCCGATCTCGCCTACCCTCACTCGTGAACAAGATCCGAGATACTTGAACTCCTCCACTTGAGCCAGTACCTCTTCCCTGACCTGACGAGGGCAATCCACCCTTTTCCCGGCTGAGAACCATCGTCTCGGACTTGGAGGTACTAATCCTCATCCCCGCCGCTTTGCACTGTCCCTGGCCTCCACTTGCTGTTGAGAAGGCGTGTCAGCCATGACAGCCCCACAACATCCAGAGCCTTTAGGTACTCCGGGTGGATCTCGTCCACCCCCGGGGCCCAGCCACCATGTAGCTCTTTAACCACCCTGGCCACCTCAGCCCCAGTGATGGGCAAGCCCCCCCCAGCACCTTTGGGCTCTGTGCCCTCAGATGTCTCAAAGGCAGTGTGCGTAGATGGATCTGAGGCAGGGTTGAGTGATGTCCCCAGGTGAGGTCAACAGCACCCCCTCCCCACTTTAAATAGTAGGAACCAGGAGCTGCTTCCCCCTCACTTTCCATGGCCTCACCGAACTCCTCCCATGCTCGGGTTTTTGCTTCTGCCACTGCCCGAGCTGCGTTCCGCCTGGCCTGCCAGTACCCGTCAGCTGCCTCCGGAGACCCCCAGGCTAATAATTCTCGGTAGGCCTCCTTCTTCAGCTTGACAGCCCCCCTCACCTCTGGTGCCCACCATCGGGTACGAGGGTTACCGCCATGACTGGCACTGCCGTCTGTTCCGGAGAACAGGAGCCTCTGCCAGACGTTCCCAGCCGACCCTCATTATGCGCTTGGGCCTACCAGGTCTGAATAGCTTCCTCCCCCGCCACCTGAGCCAACTCACCACCAGGTGGTGATCAGTTAACAGCTCTACCCCTCTCTTTACCTGAGTGTCCAAGACAGAAGGCCGCAGATCAGATGATACGATCTTCGACTTGTAGCCCCGGGCATGTTCGTACCGTGTCCACTTATGGACACCCTTATGCTCGAACATGGTGTTCGTTATGGACAAACCATGCATTGCACAAAAGTCCATTAACAGAACAGCACTCGGGTTCAGATCAGGGAGGCCGTTCCTCCCAATCACCCCCCTCCAGGTCACACTGTCATTGCCCACGTGAGCGTTGAAGTCCCCCAGTAAAATGATGGAATCCCCTCATGGCGCGCTAACCAGCATACCACTAATGGAATCCAAGAAGGCCGGGTACTCTGAACCGTCATTTGCACATAAGCGCAGACAGTCAGAGGCCTATCCCCGACCCGAAGGCACAGGGAGACAGCCCTCTCGTTCAACGGGGTAAACTCCATTGTTAATGCACCGAGCTGTGGGGCCAACAGTAGCCTCACCCAAGCCCAGCGTCGCTCACCTGCCACAACTTCAGAAGAAAAGTGCTTCCAGCCCCTCTCCAGGAGATTGGTTCCAGAACCCACGCTATGCGTTGAGGTGAGCCCGACTATATCCAGTCAATATCTCTCAACCTCACGCACAAGCTGAGGCTCCTTCCCCACCAGAGAGGTGACATTCCATGTCCCGAAAGCCAGTTTTGTCAGACCGCCAGGGCCTCCCTTGGCCGCCACCCGATCCACAATGCACCGACCCCTGACATGCCCACCTGGGGACAATCCCGCGTGCCCCTTTCGGGCAATGCCTGGCCGGGCCCCACGGGCCAAGGCCCAGCCACCAGGCGCTCGCCAATGGGCCCCTCCGCCAGGCCTGGCCCCAGGGTGGGGCCCCAGTGACCCTAGTCCGGGCGAGGGAAACGAGACCTTGGTAGAATTCTTTATAATAGGGTTCTTTCGGATTGCTCTTTGTCTGGCCCCTCCCCTAGGACCTTTTTGCCTTGGAAGACCCTACCAGGGGCTATTGCCCCCGAAAACATAGCCCCCAGGGTCACTGAGGCACGCAAACCCCTCCACCATGATAAGGTGGCAAATCCAAGGAGAGGCAATAAAAGTTTCTTCCAATATTTTAACTCCAAAAGACCTCTAAAAGCTGAAATCACTAATTTGCAGGATAATAAGGGCCTTATAATTGAAAATGAAATTGATATAGCAAATGAGTTTAATGATTATTTTATACGGGTGTTTACAGTAGAGAACATGAGTAACTTATGGGTTCCATTAAATCAGAGCTAGATAAGATTTTAACAACTCTGAGCTATTAGTTAAGTTCTCCCCAAACAAGATGGATGGGCTGAATGGCCTCCTCTCATTTGTAAATTTCTTATGTACTTATGTAGAACAGGGAGAGACGTTTAGGTTAGCAGAAACATCTGGTTGGAGCAATTGTTGTTCTTATCATTCTCTCTTTGGTTTTGTTAAACTCACAATAATAAAAAACAGGTTAGATATCCCAAAAATTATGGAATTCTTATGTCTTAAGACCTAAGAGTCTTGCTTTGTTGCATACCCTTCTTATAGTACAATTTAAATTAGATTTTTGTTCCAGGTAACATATAAAGCAAATCCAGGATACGTAATTTACAAGCAAGTTTCCTGTATAATGCTAAGGCTATTAACGTAAAATTGCATACTCCATTGTTTCAAATTATCGAAACATGATAGGCCTATGTGTTTTTCCCATCTGCAAAATGCTTAAATATGTAATTTCGCAAGTGTTGCTTGGATTAGATGGTCAAACTAATATAATGACAATGTAACGTTATCGGAGTTGTACCATAGGATGCTGTGCTTTTGCGTTTTTACATAACAGGAAAAAATAATCTTTCATACAAAAACCCAAAATTCAGTTTTTAACTATTTATATGAGAAGCGTATTTTTGTTTCGGAGAGATATTTAGATGAATCACGTGACGTTTAATGGTAACCCAGAAACCCTTTCAGCTTAGAGCGTCCTTGGCAACCGGACTCCGAAATACAATAACTTCGATGAAGCTAATTTGTAGGAACAAATCGTAATTTTCAGTAATCATATAAATCCACAAACCGACCACAAACTGATCATCTTAAAAACTGGTAGATATCTAAACTTTATCAGAAAATATATAAACAAATTTAACAATGGGTGGGGATTACTATGTCTCTTTGGAAATAAACAGAAATGCGACCGACGCAGACATCAAAAAGGCGTAAGTAAACATTATTGCACTTCTTGAATAGGTTATTAGGTATATTTATGTATGTATTTATTTGTAGGTACCGAAGACTTGCACTGAAGTACCACCCTGACAAAAGCAGTGATTCCGAAGCCTATGAGAAATTCAGTGAGATCGCGGAGGCTTACCATGTTTTAAGTGACCGTACGTAGCTACCAGAATTCAATATTTAGGCTAAATGTCGGTATATGTATAATTATTTTGGATCATTGGAGAGTAACAAACAGAAAAAAACGCCGACTAACCAATGAAAACTGTAAAAAAAACACTCTGTGTATTCCTTGTAATGTCTAGCTAGGAAGAAGGCAACTTATGACAAATTTGGCGAAGAGGGCTTAAAAAGAGGTATCCCATCCGATCTCGGTGTAAATGGGGCTTGGACAGAAGGTTACACATTCCATGGGAACCCGGAGAAAATTTTCAGGAGCTTTTTCGGGGGAGACAACCCATTTGGAGGCAAGCATACGAATATTTTATTAATTTCTTTATTTAGCAATAGTCAACGTGTGTTTATATATAGCTTTGCTGTAAGTGTGATTAATGTAGGAAATATTCGTGTAAGCAAACAGATATTAAATAATTGAATATGAAATTGAATTAAACCATTTATTCCTCTCAGTATCGTTTAGTTGCTCTTAGTCCTGTATTTTTGCTCACCAGACTTTTACGCGGAGGACGGCAGTGACATCGACGTGGGGTTTGGAGGTCTGTGTGGGCGAGGCATGAGGAAGCAGGACGCGCCCATTGAGAGAGACCTACACCTGGCCCTAGAGGACCTGTTTCACGGATGCACCAAAAAAATGAAAATATCTCGGCGAGTAAGTCGTGCATTTGGATGTAAAGAATAGTGTGGCACTTTTCAGATTTTTTTTAGTCTGCTTTTTCTCTTCTGGCCAGGTTATGAACGAAGATGGATACACATCAAGCATCAAGGACAAGATTCTAAGTATTAACATTAAACCAGGCTGGAGACAGGGCACAAGGATAATATTTGAAAAAGAGGGTGACCAGGTGACCACAAACAAAATATGCCAACTTAAAAATTTTCAGATGTAGTTAAACACATGTTAACATCTTAACACATGTATCAAATTCTTTAATTCACCTCATGTTCTTCATTTTGTTGCAAAGGGACCCAACTGTATCCCAGCTGACATCATATTTGTTGTGCAACAGAAGAACCATCCAAGGTTCTCCAGACAAGAACATAACCTAATTTACACTTATGACATTGACCTGGAGAAGGTGAGGGTGCCTGTGACCACACCCCTATGTTTCATTTTTTAAATGACCTTATATTCTGAGCAGAGCGCATTTATGTACACATTTACATTATGAATTCCATTCTGGAGAATTTTAAATCCAATTGACTACCTACACTTTCTGATACTTAACAGTTATTAAAAACCTGCCTCAATTTGGGGCAGAGGTAGGGAACCTCATCCACGGAGAGCTGGTGTGGGTGCGGGTTTTTGGGATGACCTCTCAATCAGCCAATAATTAAGCAGGGGTTCCCAACTCCAGCCCCGGGGACCCACTATTATTGGCTGATTAAGTGGTCATCCCAAAAACCTGGACCAGCTCTCCATGGATCAGGTTCCCCACACCTGGTTTGGGGGAACAGTCATTGCAGAATCAATAATTCTTCTTATAGTATTATTGTTCTTTCTTGAAAATGTTGTTGGTAGCATCAGGATGGTCCTGGAGCTGTTTGACATAAAGCCAAAATACGATCCTTCTTAATCATTCAGGCCCTGACCAGCTTCTCCATGGAGATAGAGACACTAGATGGCAGACTACTCAACATTCCCGTGAATGACATAGTACAGTGAGTAGAGCTTCATTCTCTTTAAGGCCTCTGTCAGAGTGTTTCAGTTTTTGTTTCACTTAGGTTTGCTGCAATGTTGAGTAAATGCATTTATGTCACGTGGCATAAATCACAAGGGAAGACTAAAGCACATTCAATATATAGTATAATTTGTTTTTTTCATGCAGGCCTGCCAAAAATGCCTTCATAAACCTGGATTTAAAGACTGCAGTTGAGACTGAAGTCCCATTTCTTTTAAACACAGATTCTTAGAGTGACTAGAAAATTCATGTCAGGGAGGACATTGAGTTACTTCAGGTTTTATAAGCTACGTTAAAACTGAAAGGTTACTGTGCTTGGCTAAACTTCAGTTCTTGCGCCTTTACTGGTTTGCTTCCTTGACTGAAAGACTAGTGACACATGCATGATTATAGGAGACTGCTCTACCAGCACACAGCAAGAACTCAGCATTCAAGAGAAATCCAGCACCTTTTAATTGAAATTATAGATTTCAAATCCAGTCATAGCTCAAAATGTCCTCCCTAGTATAGACTACCTGGTCACCCTACACATAGGTTTGGGGTGGTGTGCAGCTCAGTGGAGTAGGATCCTGTGCCCATGGTCAGAATGTTGTTTGTTCAAATCCTGTGATCAGCAGAATGATCGCAATGTTGAGCCCCTGAGCAAGGTGCTTAACCCAGTCCCCCAAATTGCTCCAGGGACTGTCTGACCCTTTTTTCTCAATTGTACATTGCCTTGGATATGTGCTGATTGTGAATGTTGCAATTCTTTCCAATTATAGCTCTAAACTTAGGAGGTTGGGTCAGTTCCTGAGCATGTGGCTGTTAATGGGTTCTTTAGCCTACTTCCAAGCACTTATCACTGGCCCACCCCCACACAGTGAGGGGGGAAATGTGCAAAAAAAATCATCAGCTCACAGAAGCAGGGGCCACAAGGCCAATCTCTAAGGCTAGAGTTCAGATGGGCTGAAAGTGACATAGCAAACACCAGTGATAGTCTTACATGTTCCTATATTACATACTTGTTTTTTCTCCAGTTCCAACTACACCAAGGTGGTGCCTGGAGAAGGAATGCCTCAGTCAGCTGACCCCAGTTGCAGGGGAGACCTCATCGTCAAGTTCCATGTCAAGTTCCCAGAGAAGCTCTCACTCAAAGGGAAAAGACTGATCAAGCAAGCCCTCACCCTCTGAAGGTGCAAGTCAACTGTACACCAAGTCTGGTTCATACTCCACTTGTCTGCATACCATTACAGTCCACACAAGCAGCATGTAGACCTTTCAATGGCCACTGAAGTTTGTACAAAAAATTGGAGATATTAAAAAATGGGAGTACAGAAATATGGGACAAATCACGTTTTCATGATCAAGGCATTCCACATTTCAGTATGGGATTCTCATAATATACAGGATGGATGGTAACTCTACCCCTAATTTTCTGGTGGAATACTAACTGGTACCATGGTCCAGGGGTTAGAACACAAGAGACCAGCAGATTCCACCTACTGGAAATGCCTAGTAATGCAATTCCTTGCTGTCAACACATCACACCAACATGCAACAAGTCTGCAAGACCAAAAATTTAGACAGTCTGCACAAACATGTACAAGTTCAGCTGAAATTAACATCACATGCACCATAACACTTGGGCAAGAGGAGCATGAACTGTAAGGGTCAAAGCCCCTACAATTGCCACATCATTGTGTTACTATTCCATAACAGCTTGGTAAAGTACTCACCTGACCAAAGACATTTTCTTTTTATAATTTACTTGAGCAAACAAGATTTTGTGAAATGCATTTATTTCAGTGTTAAGACCTGATAGTTTGGAATCATGAAAAACACAACAGCATTAATTAAAAAAAAAAAAAAAAAAGTGCTTTGTGATTAAAACGTGATTTTGGTACCTCGAACTTGGAGCATTGCAGTTTGACATACTTGCACCTTAAAACATCTAATGCTACACTGGATCAGGTTTCAAAAGGGAAACCTGAAGATGTTGCTCAGGTCTTCAGAGAGGCACTGGCCGGTTGTTACGGGCCACCATCATGGCTCGCTTGAGCTGCTCATAGGTCACGAACATCACCACGTTCCAGGATCCCAGCCGTAGGAAAGATGGCATGAACCTGTAAACAGAAAGCAATTAGTCTAGCTTTGTAGCATACATGGATAGAAATCAGTTCAGGAGTTGTTGGTATTTAAAAAAAAAAAAAAGCCCCAGGAACTCTAGGCTGTTGCATTACCCCTTATAGAAAGCCAAGGGCCCCTCCTTAGTCAACATTGTGAGGGCACAGTTTAAGGCACTGCTGTACTGGCCACAGGCCGAGTTCATGTATCTCGTCTTCACCACATCCACAGGAGAGGCGATGACAGTTGTACAGAAACCCGCTCCAAATGCAGAGGTGAAGTGGCAGGGGAGGTTATCTGGAATACGAATCAGGTTGTCACACATGCAAGTGCCACAATGAAGATTTGCAATGCCAAGTTAGCTTTGCATAAACAGGCCTTTACCAGTCATTGGAGTTGTTCTCAGTAGCTGGTCTTTGATTAGATCGTAAGTCACCAGCTCTGTACAGTTCACAATGGCATTGCGGGCAATATTGGGAGATGTACCTGCAAGACAAAGAATTCAAGGACCCAATAGAATCCAAAGCAAGGGGCACCTTCACCTCCAACCAAGACTTACCTCTCCACAGCCCACGAATGCCTTCCTCCCTAGCTATTGTCTTATAGGCATCCATGGTTCCCTGGTAACGTCTGCCAACTCCAGTAGCCCCTGCCTGTGCCTGGAACCGGACCTTGACAACATCAGTAGGCTGGGCCACAGCCACTGCCAGCGCCCCGGTGGTGCATCCTGCAAGCAGCCGACTGCCAATCCCCACATCTAGGGGCGATGCATGGAGGTTAGACTAGGGTTGTGTATGATCTAGAACATAGAACTGCATACCACACATTAAGAAACAGCTCAAGCCAAAATGAGTCTGGGGAGGGGGAACTACATTATTCAAGAGTTCTGAAATGTTATGCGTTGGCTGGGTAGATGTGAAGTGAACATGTCAAGAACCAGAAACCACTCACGCTCAGATCCTTTGGTGTAGAATTGCTTGACAGAGTCGTAGAGGCCGATGCGGACGGAGGCAAAGCTCATCTGCCTCTGGAGACCCGCCACCAGGCCATTGTAGAGGCTGCGGGGCCCCTCTGTGCGCACCATGGTAGCGATGGTGCCAAACACACCACGGTAGCGTACTGCCACTGCAGCAGAGGACTGGGCCTCTCCCTGGATCTGTGCAGGACAAACGGGGGCAAGGAGAGACTTTACAGAAACTGGGAGGGGCCCATGAGGAAGGGGGGGGGGGGGTCAGAAAACCCCCTAGTAGCAGGTCAACAGCATCCACGGATCCCAACTCTGGATTCTCCTAGGGCCATGGGAATCAGCTCCTGGAACGGCTTACGCTAAAGTGTGGGGTTGGAGAGAGCCAAGGAGATTGCCATCAGTGCAAGTATAAATGAGACTCCCCATCTCAACTAACCAAAAACGGTAATGGCTACAGATTGATGAAATGGAGGTCACTCCTACCCATCCAGGAATTAGATGGTTCCAAATTCAGCAGACAAGCTCTCACTAGCATACTGAAAGGTTCCTCTGAGGAGGAACTGCAGTATAGAACAAAACCACCACACCAGCCCTCATCACCATGATACCGGCATGGAGATGACTCCCTATGCCAGGGTTTAGGCTATAATGTATATGCATAACATATCATAAACATGTACAAGTTTCACTAGCTTACGGGGAAGAACTTGTCCAAGAACTAGTGACATGTATGGTGGATTTTTGCAGGCACCAAGAGATGGGCCAGTAGTTCGAGTCCCCTCTACCCCCCCCCCCCCCAATTAATCTCAAGTCAATCCACTTAACAGTGAAGGGGGGGGGGGGGGGTTGTTAAGTACAAAACCTTTAAAAAAATGCATTACTTGTATCCTAAGTTTCAAAGGTACAGCATCACAGAGTACCACTTTTGTCCTACACTACCACCCACAGACCAGCCCTCACCTGAAGTCGAACTTTGGCCGTATCCAGGGGAAAGGTGACCAGGTCAGCGATGCAGGCGGCAGCTCCAGCGCCAAAGAACTTCACCATAGCAGTTGGTGGTACATCGACAGGTGCGAATCCAACCATTTTCCCCTCTCCCTCTTTTCAGCAGTGACAGAAGCTAACTCAAAGGTGGAATGTTGAACTGGAGGAAAGCAGGTACTCCAGCACCCAATGCTCTGATGGAGCAGAAATTAATGGATTAAATGAGCACGTCTTTGAAGTATAGAGAGGCATGATTAAGTGATTGACTTTTCAGAATTAAAGCCAGGAGAGGCCACCGTCACCCTTCTCTTCACGTGCCGCCCCCGGAACAAACAGGGCCGAGGCACGCTATGAAAACCACAGAATGTACTGTTCCGTCAGGGGTGGAGTTTCCTAAACAAAGCTTGTTCCGCTTGTGACCCCGTGGGGGAGCGAAACTGTATGCGGTTTTGTCGTGCGCTCATTGGCTTCGCCCTGTTGCCATGCTAGTGCGCTATTCAAAAGGGAAATGGCTACTGGAAACCCCTCCACCACCAGTTGAGCGCAACGAGGAAAAAAATACAATGGAGTAATTCCGATCAAAATCAAAAGGAATTAAGGAAACTACTGTCGAAAATAAAATATATACGAATTACGCCGCTTCTCACAATTATTCGGTTCAGTAGAGCGGTGGACGCAGGACAAGACGGATTCAGGATTTTAAAAATTTCCATCTGACTGCAGTAATTAAACATTTGTAACAACTCAACCATGCCATTATTTTTTAAAGTTTGTTCATTTTTCCGATTAATTTCACGCACGACTGACGACATCATTCCGGGTTTTGGGAACGACTACCGGTTTTATTTTCTCAAGTTTTAAATATTACCTTCAAGTATGCCCAGGATGAAAAGCGATGATCAGGATTCTCTAAAAGTATCCCTCTCGTTGAAATTACTTTCAACTATAATTTGGTTGATTTGGTCTTCCATAGAAAGTCGTTGAAAAACGAAACACTCAAAAAACATGCTCCAAGATCTGAAAAAGACGTAGTTTAATTAGCATTCATTAACACAATTCTTAACCAGAATTAAATACCATAAACGTGAAAACAAAACCTGCCAAAACCATAACCATATAATGCAATACGACAAAAAAATAAATTATAAAGCGTAATTACCGTAAATGTAAAGTTGAAACAATGAGGAAGGGGGGAAAAAAATTGCTTTGTGTCGCTTCAGCGATACTTCCGTACCCCGTAACAGCTAGCCGGCTTGATACAATCAACAACCTATCGAATGTCTTTTATAGTGCCTCGTAATTAGCGCTCCTACGTCACAGAACAAAGGTACTTCTTGTTAGAGTGGTGCGGAAGACGCGACATATGCGGGCATCCAATCGTTTTTTTGTACTTGCTGACAATGCGTAACTGTACGATTGGTCGAAAATCCTCCGCTGTAATCTTCATTTGGCCGTCTTAACCCTCAGCTGATCCTATTAGGTATGAGAAAGTGCATGTTTGATAAGGTCCTAGAAAAAAAACGTAGTTCTTCGATAATGCTTGTACCGTTATTTCTTGGAACGCAATAAAATTGTCTAAAAAACAGGATGCGACGCTTTTCAGGCTTATCCACATCAGTGTTCGGAATATGTCAGAAGTCAGGGGGAATCCACCGGTCCGAGGTCAGAGCATTACATGAAAGTGCAACCAGTTTACATACATGTAGAAATGGGTCTCCAACCTTATTTATCGTGAGAGCTATTTCTACAAGGAAAATAATGAACTATACCTGTTGCCTACCGGCAAATTGTCGAAGGACGCAGGGGTGGCACTCAGTGACATTCTCTGAAATTCCCACACATAGTGTCAGTCACTCCATCAAGTGACATAGGCAGCTGCCTAGAGTGCCAGCTCGCAAAAATTGAACAGTTCACTTCGGAAGTAGCTGTCATGACTTCTGGCAGTGAAAACTGAAACATCCGTGCAAATCCCAGTTTAAGGGGCAGAATTACACTCTCTCTGTTATTTCTTCACAGGCAACAGTGTAAAAGAGAGTTTGATGTTGGGGGGTGGCACAATTTAAATACTATGGTATTTATAGTGGGGATGCATGATTCCATATTAAATATTAGGGGGTACATGTCCCACGGTTACAATACACCAGTTCACAGGTTTCAGCTTTTTTTTAAACCAAAATCACATACAATTGATGAAGCAAGCAGGGTCAGCCAGTCCCTGGACCAACTGGGGTTAAGGACCTTGCTCAATGGTCCTACAGTTAAAGGACTCTGTCTCGCACAGGATTTGCATCAGTAACCTTCTGATTACAGACACAGAGTGCTGATCCGCAGAGCCACACATTGCTCCCACCCAACTGCACCTTTAAAGTAAAGCCCGTTTTTAACAGCACTGTTGTAAGAATGTGAAACAGACATACTCAAACATGGTCTGCAGCTGCCTCAGCTGTGTTGAGTGTTGTGAAGGCTGCTGTTCATGATAAACCAATGCTCTTCGGGTTTTTTAAAGAATGCAAGCAAATCAAGGCAATACTATTGACATTTATATAAGACAGGACCAGATACAAATAGGAATATAAGGACTGATTGTTTCGACCAGCGATACACAGAACATTAACAATTAAAAAAATAGATCAATACGTCATATATAATACATTTGTAACTACAAATTTGGAATAGTCAGACACTAGAAACTGTAAACAATTCCTCTGGTGTGGCGACACTTTGACATTGCTTCTTGTCTTCTTTAAAATCTGCATCCGTATGTTTATAACTGATATAGCTCTTGGCCATAGAGTTTATCAAAGAGATATTGAAGTCTTTGACCCTTAACCAATAACACCATAATTCTGGAATATGGTCTAGTGGCGCAATGTCCTCAACACTGTCCAGTGTTCCTCTCAAAGTGGGGGAGGAGAAGTGTGCATACACATCACACCAGGGGTTGACCGGGAATCCCACTTGTGCGTCAGAATGTCGTCCACCTCAGAAGCACAGGCAAGCCCCACCTCCTTGGGCACCGTCTGATGACCAGTGCCCTGCAGAGACTTTTTGAGGGGCAGGTGCTCGACTGAGGATGGCGGGATCCCCCCCACCTTGGTTAATTCAGTGTGATGGTCATCTGTGCTCAATAACACTTGAGGGGGGGGGGTCCTCCTTGGCTTGAGGGGGGTGGATAGTCATTGGGGCAATTTGGATCGCTTGGGCAAAGGGGGTATGTGCTCAGGTGCTTACAGACCACCCTCCGCCCCCCCCCCCCCCCCCCCCCCCCCCCCCCCCCGTCCCAGTACGTGCCTGCCCAAGACATTCAACTTCCTCCTTGTCTGTAGATCAATAAAGGCACTCAGTGTCCAAGAGTGCCGGTTCAGAAAGGGGACTCCCACGACTGCTGTGCCCGCATTACTGCACGCTTGATCTGCTCATATGATACGAACATGACGATGTTCCAGGATCCTAGGCGAAGGAAGGACGGCATGAACCTGGAATGGGATAGGAGAGAACATACCATGTGAACAGTTGTCAGATAAATGCAGGGGGCTGTAAGTAAACTCAGCCTCTGAATGAATCCTGCCACTGTGCCACTGAGGGTACTTAGCAATCAAAAAAAAAGATAACGATTAAAATATCAAAATGATCAATGAAAAGTATAATGCTCAAGAGATGAATGACATGTTAGTGCTTCAATGCAAAAGCTAAGCATCATGATGCCAATATTTCTTTCCACATTACCATTAATGTTAGCAAAATGACAGGCAGATGATGTAATACATCTTTGGAAAGGGAAAGCTTATACCCCTTGTAGAAGGCAGTGGGTCCTTCCTTGGTCAACATGGTGAGAGCACAGTTGATGGCACTGCTGTACTGTCCTGCTGCGGAGTTCATGAAGCGCGTCTTCACTACATCGACCGGTGACGCCACGATGGTGGTGCAGAAGCCCGCTCCAAAGGCGGCAGTGAAGTGGCAGGGCAGGTTGTCTGAGGGACACACATGCGGCAATTGGTAAGTGCTCCGTGTGCCTCTTAGTCCTGCTTCGCCTTCAACTTCCAAAGGCAGCCTTACCTGTCATGATGTCATACTTCAGAATGAGCTCCTTGATGATGTCATAGGTGACTAGCTCTGCACAGTTCACAATGGCATTCCGTGTTATGTTGGGCAGACAGCCTAGAACAGAGTGAGCAAAGAAAATGTTGTTTTGTGTCTCTGATATACAAATGTTACTGTCAAACTCGGAAGCACAGGCTGGGATCGGGCCCTGACACTCCCTACCTCTCCAAAGTCCCCGGACTCCCTCGTCCCGGGCTATGGTCCGATAGGCATCCATGGTGCTGTTGTACCGCTTGGCGCCATCCGCAACTCTCACCTGGGCCTGGAATCGCACCTTGACCACATCGGTGGGCTGGGCAAACATCACAGCCATCGCCCCCGTCGTGCAGCCGGCCAGAAGCCGAATCACGATGTTTGAGTCTGGAGAGAAGAAGTGGTCCTGTTGCAAATGTGCTGCTGCCACACAGTCCCATGTGACAGTGAGTCTAAGAACTACCATCTAAAAATAACACCCAAGGTGTATGGGGTCAACTCAACAAACACTAAAACAACTAACAATGGCAGGTGAAACACGCAGGTCTTTTTTGTATGAAACAAAATATTACAACTAATACTTCAGAAAAACAAATTAGTAATTTCTGATTGAGTAGATTTATTATTCTTAATTCATGTTTATTGTCTTTGCTATTTGCTGTTCATGAGTTTTTTTTTTCTTTGAATGTAAATAAGAGGCTTATAGAGGCTATTTGGAGCTCAGATACTTAGAAACTGGAGAGACCATGTGCGCATTTCACACTCCGGTGTGTGATGTGACTTTAATGCATGCCACAAGCACTGTCGCCTGTGGGTGGGTATAATTAGAGACTCCGCCCACTTTAAACAGGAACTGGCAGGGAAACAACCCCCGTGGGGGGGTGGGGGTTTTAAGTGTGTCAGGGGTCACTCACTGTCTGAGCCGCGGGTGTAGAATTGCTTCATGGTGTCATACAGGCCGATGCGGACGGAGGCGAAGCTCATCTGCCTCTGGAGACCCGCCACCAGGCCGTTGTAGAGACTACGGGCCCCTTCTGTGCGCACCATGGTGGTGATGGTGCCAAACACGCCACGGTAGCGTGCCGCCTTCCCCACTTCCTCTACTGCCTTGGATTCCCCCTGAATCTAAGTGATAGGAATAGCTATGGTTACTCTGAGGTCTGCTCACATGCGGTTTTCCTTGCTCCATGAAGGACTACGAGAAAGTAAATGCTTCCAGGATTTCCGGCTGAACAATGCCTGCACCTGCTCAGAAGCCCCCATGTACAAATAGCGCATCACCATTTATGCTCCTAGATTCATTGATTGGCCTTACCTGCAAGCGAACTTTGGCCGTGTCCAGTGGGAAGGTGACCAGGTCAGCGATGCAAGCTGCGGTCCCAGCACCGAAGAACTTAACAGTGGCTGTGGGGGCAAGATCTGCGGGCCTGACTACAACCATAGCTGTGGTGACTGACGACTTCCAAAGCTCAAAGGTGACAAAATGGATCTTTACTACCTTAAAGGGAGAGATGGTAGACAGAGAGATGGTAACTTAATTACACACAAATTATATGTATGCAAGAATGTCATAGATCAAGAACCACAATGCAATACCTCATCTAACAAACTGCAAGTTTGCAGAATAAAAAATATAGTCGTAAAATGGATTATAGATTTTTCCCTCTTTTTCTGATGATGCAACTTTTTTTTGTGAAGTAATCTCCTAGAATATCAAGGATCAAAGAATTATATTTGTCAAGTAGGTTATACAAGTACAACAAACTTTAGTAGCTGCCCCCATAATGACATGAATATGTATTTGTAATCAGTCTCAACACGAAATGTAAAGTATTAGTTCCTGTTCATATCACTAGTTCGTCCAAAGTCATTCCGGTACTTCAAGATCATTAGTCTCCTATATTTGGTACTCAGCATTGCTCTGATTTCAAATTAATGTGTAGGTAGGATAGATTATTTCCACATAATAAATATTTTGCTAAACAACGATACATAGAAATAGAACAAATCATCGTAATGATGTATATCTTAGAACTGTTTCTCGCTGTAGAAAGCTAAGAAGTATATACATGTCTTCAAGTGCAGCGCTTTGTGATAGTTTACCTGCTGAGGCGCTGCGGCCGTATAGTCAGGTCTGTGACTATGAGAACGTTATTTCGTGAGATCGTTTTCAGTCCGGCTTGTGCGGGTCCATACAACTCCAGAGGACTCAATTCCCAAAACAGCATAACACGTCTTGATAAAATAACATCAAAATATTATTATTAGTATGCATAATAATAATAATAATAATAATAATAATAATAATAATAATAAATGCCAACAAGGCAAAATTACTGTAATAACATATTACATGATTAGTAAATTTGTTATAAAGTAACATAAATGTCAATTAAAGTAAATGTCATCCTTTCAAATTTACCTATATGTTTTTCGTCCACGATAAGGATTTAGAAGCAATATTCCTTTTGGTGATGCGTCTTGCACTGGGCCACCTTAACTGCCCGAGACCAAGCAGGGACCTGTACAATTTATAGACGCGCCTCCTAGACAGACCCCCTAATGGCATTCCGTTGAGTAGCACTTGTGAGCCCGTATTACGCCAGTCTTATCTAAGATGTTTACAGTGAGGAACACTATGTAGCTTCTAGCCTTGACGAAAACAAAATAGGAATGAAGAAATCGGAACACGTGAATAACGCAAATTAAAACACTGGTGTAGTTTTGCGCGTACTTACTTCTGAATATTATTAAAACTAACATATCTATGCATCAACTTATAAATGTGTAAGGATTTATAAGAACATGAAAGTCGTCACCGGTGTTCTGTCGAGTTGAGCTACTTTGTCGAGTTAGGCTACCGTAGTGTTAATCGATAGCCCTAACCCTAACTCTTACCCTAACCCTAACCCCCCAAAACCCCCTAAAAACCCTTACCATAACCCTAACCCAAACCCCTAAAACCTAACCCTAACCCCCAAACGGTGGAACTGCAAATGCGCAAAACGGCTCGATAGTACGTCTCGATAGGTAGCTCAACTCGTCCGAACACCGGCAACAGCTTTTCCTTGTAATGCTACGTAAGACGATGAGAAAACTAATGCAAAAAATTACAGGTAGAATTAGGCTTATTTTTCTATTGCTGGATAATGTAACAAACATCCAGTTACAACGGTATAATATAGCTTTGATTTAACAGAAAAGTTCACAATAGTTATTTAATCACAAGTCTACCTTCATGTAGGCCTAATAGCTTTGACACTTAAAGTTCAATACGCCCATAAGCGTGTGCATTGAGCCAATTTACCATAACTTTCGCCAGTGTTTTAATTGTCGATGAGTGTCATTTAAAGCATAAGACGGGAAGAAGGTAGTATTAATGCATAGGGGAGGGGTTGGTTAATTTCCAAAAGAAAGCATTTGTTTTCAAGGTTTCTTTTTTTTAATTAGGACTAAATCTGCCCCCCCCCCCACACACACACACACACACACACACAAGCTCAATCTGTGTGTGCCCCTAGAACCAGCAGTAGCACTAGGGGGGAGGGGGGTATGGTTGAAAAAACCGCACCAAAGTGATCTCTAAAGAAGCAAAAATATCACTATTGGCTTCCCATCACATGGGGAAAGTTGACTGCATGCCCCCCTTCATGTGAAATAGTATTTTGATGTGCCTGTAAATATCTGGTGCATCCAGGGCCTAGTGTCCTACCAATGGAGAGAATGCGATGCCCTATAAGGTGCCCTTACAATGGTCTAGGCTGTCCTTATATTATATTGCATTATAAATGTAACATAATGCCATATATGGTGCCCGTTCACCTGGGTAAACCTGAGGTGCCCTCTGGGTGCCTTTCTAGGGGAAAACCTCCTGAAGTGCCCTCAGGCACCCAATTTTTACCATGCCAGCTCAGTTGCAACCCTATATCAAGTATAGGTTTATATTACCGCTATGGTCAAGCATGCAGTGTGCTCTGAAGTTATGCCAATTGATGCCTATCATGCAACTCGTATCGGATGTGCCAGTGAATTTTAAATTACGCATCTGTGGTTTGGCTTCTTGGATTGGTTGAGTGTTCACTAATTTTGTGCTAAGTGTTTACAGACCCAAAACCTGTTTATATAGGTTAATTCTAGGATTGGGGCTAGGAAATCTGATCCTGGATCAGCATAGGAACTTGCATACATTTCCTCGCGACCCTTTCAGGAACTTGCCACGACCCAAATTTGGGTCGCAACACATGGGTTGAGAATCGCTGCTCTAGGGTGCCCTTACAGGTGAGGGAACTTGATGAAGTGCCATTGTAACAGAGATAGAGTGCCCTTCTAGTGAAGAAAATAAGATATGCTGCCACTATGTGATACATGCTAGAACACTAATTTACCACACACAGTGACCATTGATCTACTCCAGGGTGTGTACATCATACAATGACTGCCCTTTTTATCCTTCAGACTGTCTGTGTCTGCCACTGAACAGAAGTGAGCAGAAAGGCAAACATGCGAACAAGCATGATATAAGCTATGATACTGATGATGGTTCCCTATTAATCATGTGTAATACTCTGGTCTGTGAAATTTTTGCACGACACATAATGGTCCACTGTCTCCACGAATGATTAGACGTAAATCTTCTCCAAAGACTAGCTTCACTAAATCGTTCAGAATGGATAACCTGAGAAACCTGCAATGATTTATATTATAGTATCATATACAGCTCTGGAAAAAATGAAGAGAGCACTCTATATTGTTTTAAATTTGCATTTTTCCTGGTTTAATCCTGGTTTTGCTGGTAGAAGGCTACACTGCGCAGCAGGTTGCTTCCAGGCCCAAAGCTTCTAAGACAGCAGTAAACAAGAAGATGGAAAAGCAGGAGACACTGGGAATGACCAGAAATCAGCCAGATAGAGGATAGAAGCGACTTTCTAATGCCAGAGATGACTGTCAGCTTATCCGGCAGTGCCTTGTAAATTGGAGGATGACCTCAAGTGACTTTCAAAAAGAATGGGAAACATTAAGTGCAGACATGAAGTGCACTGCTAGGACAGTTCATATCAGAGCTAGAAGCAGGACTGAAGTCCCATAAAACACAGAAGAAGCCCTTCGTTAATGAGAAACAGGGAACAGCCAGGCAGGAGTTTGCAACAAAAAAAATGTATATTTTACACAGGTGTATACCCATAAACTGAGAAATGAGTGAAACTGAAAATTTTGCTGTGGTCTCTTAATTTTTTCCAGAGCTGTATATAAATGTTATGTTTTTGTTTTTAGCAGTTCTCTTACTTGAATGAACAGTATGAAACATTATTGTGGTCCCTTAAGCACTTGAAACATGCCATAGGACATGCTGGTGCCTTCAAAATATACACATAAACATTGGAACAGCTTTGAGCTCTCCAGCCCTGCTTTGTCAGCTATCAGTTGAATCCAGCTAAAACCGGTTCTCCCTTAGCACATTTAGGTACACGTTTCATGGTAAACAACTGCAACTGCTCTCTCCGGAAACTCCCCTCCAGCCCCCCCCGCCTGTCTCCCCCACCCTGTTTGAAATTGGATAGAGGTTACCCTGGCTGACGCACAAGCATTCCGCCCCAACCAACATAGAACTTGTATATGGATAAAAAATAACAGTAAAACTATAAATAAGCACAGGTTCCTCTAAATAAAGGTTACTGTGGCACAGAGTCTAGGACCCTAAAGCATAATGCTTCATCATAAAAAATAAAATTGTAATAATGGCATTACTGTTTACCAAGGTTTAAAGTAATCAATTGAGTGATATGACAGAACATAGGTTACCCGTGATCTCACCTGCTTTTTACTGTCACCTTTGCAGATAGTTCTACTGTGTCTAGATACATTTTGTGTGGTCCAAATGAGTGGCCTCAAATTTCAGACTAAGGAGGATTGAGAGATCAGCAGTTTACCTATGACCTGAGACCCTGAGAGCACAATAATGTTCTAATGAAACAGCAGTTTCAGCAACTATCTTGGGAATACAGATGAGACTGAAGTTTCCCCAGTGGTAGCCAAGAAACTTTGTGTCCCTCCTGCCCCGAAACGTAAAACTATTGAAGGATATTTGGCTACATTTGTGAAATTTAACTGTACAAAGCACGTAAATGGACCTTAGAGATAACAAAGAGACTCCAGCTGAAGAAGGCAGAGCAGTGTTCTCTGAGAAAGTGGTGTCTGGCTTGCGGCTAAATGTCACCATAGTCTCCAAGGGCAATATAAAACTCAGATATCCTGTCCCCCTCACAAAACAGTACTTTTTGTGCTAGAAGTGTGAATTAGAGCCCTACTTGTTCCTTTTGTGTTGCACTGAGACACAAAGGTCACTCGACAGACTGACTTTTCATGGGGACAGGCTTGTTTTTTTGTGCGTGCCCCCGTTATGTAATCCTGTAAGACCCATATCTGGCTCCAGCTGAAGTCTCTCACAGGGCAAGACTGAGCAGGACAGCAGC